CTCACAGCCATACAACAAAACAGCCCGTACTGTAGCTTGATACACACGTCCCTTCAGATTCAGGGATAAACCATTCTGACGCCATAGGTGTCTCAAGTTAGCAAACGCGGCCCGAGCCTTGCAGATTTGTGCATTCACCTCATCTGTCACACTACAGTCAGAACTAATACAACTTTCAAGATAAGTAAAACGCTCCACAACTTCCAGTGCCTCTCCCTGGATCGTAAGTGGCGTGTTCAGTGACCGCACGTCCACAAGAATGACCTTACACTTTGTGGATGCAAAGTGCATACCAAAGGACGGGATGACTTGGTTGGTTTATCCAAAAACACCTGAGCCTTCTCCTCCTCTTCGAAGATGAGAACGATATCGTCTGCATATTCCAAATCCACCCGCGGGAGAAACAAACAAAACTGGTATATAACTTAGCAAAACACACTCACTTGAAAACCGGTTTGATTTCTTGGAAGACTCACCTGGAACCGAGCTGAATTCCTCGTTTATGATGTTTCAAGTAGAACATGGAAAAAATTTAAAAAATCGTTCAGCTGTAGCACCCTTTCGGCGCCTGGTTGCCATGCCGCACGAAGGAGGCACGAGTGCCAGGATAGTGTCAGGTTGCCCAAGCCTAGACAGGAGGAGTCGAGAGACAGAGGCCGGGTTCGAACCACGAACTTTCTGGTCAGTAAATTCGCGCTCTAACCACTTGGGCCATCTCGCCCTCAAGTAGAACATAAAGTTGACGGAAACTCGGGGACCGCTCCTACATGATGAGCTTCAAGAAGGGCGAAACCGGTTGTGGGCCGTCGAAGAATTTTCAGCAATTTTATGAGTATTGTATTACGTCTAACGATGTATAACTTAGTTTTTCGAAGTTCGTATTTTTGCGATTCAACTTACCTCAAGAAGTGAAATCCATGTATCATTCTCCGTAGCTGAAAATCTCACGCATAGCCTTCATGTCTTTTCAGGCATTTGTAAATGTCAAGCAGGCTAACATTCTAGATTAATTCACAGCTTCGTTTGCTCTTATTGCTTAATACCAACTTTTGAGAGTTGTAGAGAGATGAGTTGTTTATGCAGTCACAGCGGACTAGTTATCTGTCGGCTACCTGTTGGTTAGCGCTCATTGTTAGTTGGTCGTGACATACGCGGCACCCCTCACTCTATGCTCACCCCTTTCGTCGTCGAATGTGTTCACTCTGGAGCTTAAGAGTGTCTCGAGTCCGTAAATTTCTCCATGCTTGCGTTGTACATTGGGAGAGATGTTCGTCGTCCATGTGTCTCTGTGAGTGACTGGACACCGGACTATCTTGATACTAACTCGCCCCTGAGGTCGTTTGACCACCGCTACCTTGAATTCGTGGTAGCTCACGGACTAAAAGGCGAACCAAATATCGAAATGTACTTGGCTTTAACTCTCTTCCGGCTTTCCAATCTCTCCCGTCTGGAATTGAGCTGCTGAGCGAATTTCCAACCTTTCCCCAGGTTACCTCGTCAGCTGCTACGGCCGAATGAATCGCGTTAGGAGGGTCTATTTTTTCGCACAAAAGCGCCATCAGTTTCTGTCCCAGTGGCTTTGTGTTAAACAGTTGTACGGGCGGAAACTCGAGAACTACGTCTGCTCGATGAGCCCCAAGAAGAACAAAACCGGTAGTGAGCTGTCGAAGAGCTTTCAGCAACCATATAAGTAGTGTTGTCATGTAGTTAGAATTTGTTTGTCTTGTTTTTTTAGTCTTTGCCTATCCATTACTGCTGATGCTCACTATTTTTCTGGACTATGATAAATTTGGCAGTGTAAGAATTTTCTCCAGCTTGCATGGACCAAAACTTTAGAGCAAATTAGATCATAGGTTCACAATGGTCCCGTAAACCTGTTAAATTTAAAAAGTCACACTCGTCTCCTGATAGGTATCAGTTGATGTTGTCTTTCACTCTCGCATTTTTTCCTCACCAGATACACCCTGCTTCGTAACAGAATACTCTCATCCCAGCTGACTTCTTGACGCTTTTCAAACAGGCGTCAGCCCCCATCCAGACGAACACACCCATCCGATTGACGTTTTAATAAACAGTTTATTTCAACTCTGGTGCCTTGGCCACTGTGATACCCTAATTTCTATTTTTTTCTTTGCACTCCTGATCTCGCTTATCGGGACGTTCAGTTTGTCTTTTAATGCATATTTGATTCAGATATATCTTTCGGTTGGTGAATTTGCATGGTTACCAACCAGAGAATATGTTACTTCTCCGTCGCCGGTGGAGTTTTCTCAGGATTCCTACCTCCGTTGGGATTTCAGTGAATCATCTGGAGTTTACCAGAAGCCTCCTACTGGCTCCGGCTTGCGTGGCCTCGTTTTAACTGTCGCTCCGCAGAATGGGGACCAGGCAATTCAATTCAATTTGTCAGCTATAAACCGTGTACCATGAGCACATTAGTTCTAGCTGTTACGGTTTCAGTCACCGGAAGATGGGAATGTGGGACGTACAACCGAGCCCTAGGGGTGAAGGCATATTCAGTTTGTTCGGGAATCGGGTTTCTACCCATTGAAGGTGATAGCTTTGATGCACGAGCGCCACTGACTGTGCGACTGGGCGATTTCCGCCAATGTCTTTAAACACTGGTAGTTTGAGTCCCCGGGGTCCCCATCCAGGAAGGCGGCAGTTATCCACCCGACTGGTTAGTGTTTTCGTACTTCGTTGCCAGGTCCACCTCTTGGTCGCTTTCAATCAGTACAAGGCTGGGCGAAAAGAGCTCTCTGAGGCAGACGGTCTTCTGGCATGCGGCTACATGCCCAAACCGGCGCAGCCTATGAAGCGTGAGTAATTCATCTATCGGATCAGACAAACCCTCACGAATATGACTGTGCCATGCAGCCAATGGCATCAAAGTTATCGTTTTCACATCATAGCTCTCAATCCTTGTGATACAGAACAATGACCTGAGTAAACCATCGCCTGCAACGCGTGGCTCCCTGTCCCCGCTCTCTCATTATCCTTGATAAACTAAGATGTAATACCCGGGACCATTTCACTTCAGTTCACGATTTGTGAGCAGACTGAGTTGTGGATAAAGCATGATCTAGTTGCCGAACCCCTCTCTGTCTATAGTTGAGACTCTTTCGGTTTACATGACAGCTACACAGGTGATATCGCACAAGGGAACAGCCCCAATACCTTATCATAAGTAGTGATGGCTATACGCTTGGATTCTTCCCCACCGTCCACCAAAAAGTGTTATGTCCTCAGCCGGGACAACCGTCGGAGAATGCTAAACAAAATTCATTCCGTTGGTATTTAAAAGTCCAATCGACCATTGACGATTGGAGAATCTAGGAGCGAAATGTTTCGAGATAAGGCGTATGTCTCTTGAACGATCAGTCATGAAACGCGCCAAAATGCGAACAGGTACAAATGCCAATCAGTTCAGTTCTGGGCGCGGCACCAGTGTTCTTAGAACCTGATAACAATCGGCGCTGAGTGGACCAGTCTAGTCACAGTCGGATCTGATAATCGACCGAATAATCGAGAAGGAATATGCTGATATATCGCCATTATCAGCTGTAAGAACTGTGTACTTGTCTTACAGTGGTTCTACTTGGCGCAGTCTCATTCACTGATGATTTGGGGAGATGGGGTAAATACGTGCGCATTGGAGACGGGAGCTGATATGGCCGCGGTACAAATATATTTTTAAACGAAAACGAATCAGACAGCGCGGTAGATAGACATGTAGTAAATATGACTGCCATGCAGCCAATGGCCCTATGGCATCAAAGTTATCGTGATACAGCATAGCTCTCAATCATTGCGATACATGGCAATGATCTGATTAAAGTATCGCCTGCAACGCTTGGCTCTCTGTCCCCGCTCTCTCATTATCCTTGATAAACTAAGATGTAGTACCCGGGGCCATTTCACTTCAGTTCACGATTTGTGAGCAGACTGAGTTGTGGATAAAGCATGATCTAGTTGCCGAACCCCTCTCTGTCTATAGTTGAGACTCTTTCGGTTTACATGACAGCTACACAGGTGATATCGCACAAGGGAACAGCCCCAATACCTTATCATAAGTAGTGATGGCTATACGCTTGGATTCTTCCCCACCGTCCACCAAAAAGTGTTATGTCCTCAGCCGGGACAACCGTCGGAGAATGCTAAACAAAATTCATTCCGTTGGTATTTAAAAGTCCAATCGACCATTGACGATTGGAGAATCTAGGAGCGAAATGTTTCGAGATAAGGCGTATGTCTCTTGAACGATCAGTCATGAAACGCGCCAAAATGCGAACAGGTACAAATGCCAATCAGTTCAGTTCTGGGCGCGGCACCAGTGTTCTTAGAACCTGATAACAATCGGCGCTGAGTGGACCAGTCTAGTCACAGTCGGATCTGATAATCGACCGAATAATCGAGAAGGAATATGCTGATATATCGCCATTATCAGCTGTAAGAACTGTGTACTTGTCTTACAGTGGTTCTACTTGGCGCAGTCTCATTCACTGATGATTTGGGGAGATGGGGTAAATACGTGCGCATTGGAGACGGGAGCTGATATGGCCGCGGTACAAATATATTTTTAAACGAAAACGAATCAGACAGCGCGGTAGATAGACATGTAGTCCCCCATAAATTGTCAATGCACGCCCAAGCAAAGATAATTATAGACCAAATTAGCCGAAAACCGATGCACTCTCAGGTTTTACCGAGGTATGCGGACCATCGTGTCAGGACAAGACGTGGTTTCTTTTTAAACTCATAATACATTAGTAAGTACGCGAGGTACTCTCATTTGCACGCTAGTTTGGTTTCGTCAGGAGACTTGACTGAGTCCAAATGCACCTAGTTTCTGATGCAGGAGGCTGTAGCCTCCTTTCGGGGCCTAGCTGCCATGCCACCAGAAGGAAGTACGAGGGCTGGGATAATGCCAGGTTGCCCAAACCTGGACAGGGGAAGTCGAGAGGCAGAGGTCGGGTTCGAACCACGGACCTTCCGGTCAGAAAAATTGCTCTGTCTGAATCCATTCACTATCATAAGAAAATGCTAGTATACAGAATAAATACCCTAGCAGTTTGGAGAGCCTAGATGCATAGCAAACCTTCCTGTTTGGCAATGTCAGTGAACTCTGGATAACCGATTCTGCTCTATTAAGGTCCCCGAGTCTCCATCCTTGGACTTTGCATGTGTGTGAATTGTGGCAAACAAATTAGCTTGGTGTCTGCAGATGGCTTGGCTAAAAACCACTAGTCAAACAGGTGAACGTCAGCTGAGCTTTCCGTAGGCACCAGCTTAAGTTCAAAGTGGTTATTGATTGCTACGCTTGTACAACGAGCTGAGGAATGGCGTTCTGACAGAAATGGAGGGAGTGAATCAAACTAGTGGGCATGATTGGAACCCTCGTGGACAAGAACCGCTATGAAGATTTTGTTGCTTGTTCCGTCTGGTTTTTTGAATCAATGAAGACGTAGGAGTTGGCAGAACAAAGAAGTACCCACAATGGAAGGAATACTTTTTGCATTCCTTGTTTGTTGTTCCTTCTTGAGAGGGTTGTACAGTTGGGAATCTCAAACAGACTGAGTGCTCGGTTTTCAGTTAGTTTTGAAAAGATTGACACCAGAGGTGGGACTAGAGCACAGGAACTCTAGAAGCGATAAGTCCCTTGTTCTGCGATCTAAGGTATACGTAGTTTTGACGAGTAAGACACTGTTCCAGGCCTGTGGCTCGTTAATTTTCAGGTTCTTCCAGAGCATACGGAAGAGTAAGGGTCATTTGTCACACTCTTCACTGGTAGTCAGACTGCTGGCTAAGTACATACAGAACCAAGGAGAATTCATTTGTATTCATTTACACCATATCAAAATGTGAAATCGGCGACTGCTGGTTTTTAGAGGGTATGAGGATTCCGAATCTGAACACTATTTCATAGAAACCCAATACATCCAGCTGTCGCGTCCGGAAACGAATCAACCTTTCTTATAAGTTATTGCCAAAATGTTACTTAAAGCAATATTTAGTACCGGTGAGATGTACACATTCGTCATATGATAGATTGATCGGGTCGGTCCGTCGCAGTTAGTCGGCTCATAGAGTCGCACCGACCTAGTTTCACTGGTTTAGTGGAGCGAGATGGCTCAAGTGGTTAGCAGGCGAATTTACTGACCGGAAGGTCCGTGGTTCGAACCCGATCTCTGCCTCTCGGATTCTCCTGTCTAGGCTTGGGCAACGTGGCAGTATCTCAGCCCTCGTGCATGGCAGCTAGGCACCAGAGGGGTGTGGCTTTTCTGTTGAAATATCACTAGTTGAGGAGACAACTTCTGAGACGAGTGTGAGAGATTCAAGGAAATTTTGATGATACTGGTTCATGGAAAAAAATTATAGAACTTGATTTTATGCAAAGGCTTACTGTATTCTCTCTCTTTGTACTGCAATGTTCCATATTTCAAACACTGTCAGTTTGGTGAAAAATGGCGACCTTTTTCTGTGACTACTGCAAAAGGTCCGGAAATTGTTTCTTCTGTCAGGCTTGTTAGAAACCTCTCAAAATCAAATCTACGTATTCAGTATTAATAAATAAATACCAATAAGAATAATATTGCATTCGCCTCATACATTCCACGATTTACAAACGTTCATTTAGAAAATGGCGGAAAGGTCCGAGACGCTTATTTGTGCCTTGTACATAACTGCGAAGTTCAAAACGGAATACTCAAAAGCCCGCACAAAACTGGCCATTCAAACCTAAGCTAAGTACTTATCCACAAAAGGCATTCGAGAAACATTGGGATGTAAGCAGTTAGGTGAAAATGATTGTGGCACACAGTGCACAGTCCGAGCGCCCATGGAGTGGTTCCCCTAGGAATTCGGTAGAAATGACCACCAGCTGTTAGACAAGTGGTCCCGAAGCGATCGCTCATATGTGCCTTAACGCACATGTGGACAGTGAGCTAATTCAGACGAGGGAAAGCCGCATGGTCCGTTCATATTCACTGAAATAACCACTGTAATGCATTACTCATAAGGTTGCTGAAAGTTCGTCGACAGCCCTCGATCGGTTTCGTCCCTCTTGGGGCTCATCAGGTAGGCGCAGTCCCCGAGTTCCCGTCAGCCTTATGTTCTACTTGAAACCAAATTGCAGGAAATTAGCGAACATACACTCATTTGCAAACTAATTTGGTTTTTCGGGAGACTCACCTGGAACCCAGCTGAATCTCTCGGTTTTGATGCACCCAAGCAACTGAGTGTGCTGCACCAGGCCGCCTCGTGTTTCAGTCGCTACGACATTCGAGATACCGCGATGCATATATATTTTTGTAATGCACTACTCAAAAGGTTGCTGAAAACTGGACAGCCCACGACAACCATTGGCCATACTCAAGAATAAACAAAGTCGTGATAGGCGTGTAGCAGTCCGATCATACTGGGCCGCCATTATGGAATGTCGCTTCGAAAGCACACACTAGCAGTGCGCCTTGTTTAAATAGCTCGGCTCATGCCGAGAAGTCCAGCAAGAATCAGCATGAATGCCTCGCTTGAAACGGCAGATCAATCAAACTAGTCAGCGTGAAAGTGTGTAGTCAGTCTTGGGTGAGGCTTCGAAAGAAGTGAAAAACTCTACTAC